AGGGCTTTGATAAGTAACCGGTACGCAGGACAGAGAATTATTCGGGGATATAATTGGAGCTACGGGGTTTGTAGACGTGCTGGGCTGAACAGACTTGTTAGATCTACGAGAAGGCGTCGTACCCCTAAACGGAACTGTACTACCTATCTTTTGGGCCGGAGTCTGATTCAATTTTCGAGTCTCACCGTTCTGACGCCAAGCCACGGGTGACTTAGCTGTAGACCTTACAGCACCCAGTGGGACAGGAGAAGTTCTCGGTCTAGCTGATGTAGACGGATTTTCATGTGTCTCAGCGGGACTATCCGGAGGATACGAAACGACAAATTGGGCTGCTGCTGCTAGTTTAGGGGCAGGCAAATGCGTCAAGTGGCTTGAGTAAGATGGAGATGTAGGAGAAAGAGGAAGGAGGGAGTCAGATGTCGCAGGAGTAGGAGAAGCTGAATCCTTACGGCCACTTGTATTATGACCGAGTTGGGGAGCATTAGACTGAGAAGCAGTAGGTTTACGTGAGAATAGAGACCCGATTCTACGCTCCATAGGAGTAAGATCATGACAAAGGAGAAATTTTGCCTTCTCTAGGTACGCAGTGACACGCTCTCGATGAGTAAAGATTGTGTCAACCTCCATTGATGAAAACAATTAGACTAAGATGGGTGGATTTGTACTACGGGAGGACAAGCGTTTGGCATCAGCTATTTTATAGTTGAAACCACATGAATACAGGAAACTGGTCGCAACATCAATTGGCCGAGCAGATCGAGGAACATTTTTTAGCAGGAAGTTGTAAGAACGCTTCTGTCTATCACTAGATTCACTGGCGATCAGGTGAACAAGTGAGTCGAGACGCCTACATTCTTCAGAGGGAATATCGGAGATGTTCCCGTCGAATAAATGTCCAAGAATTGTCAGCAAAGAGCCAAACTTTAGCATAAAGTCATTGCAGTGGTCAAGTGCAGACAGATTAAGCTGCCGACCAATTACAACGGGTGACGACTGACTAGTAATATCATCTGACTTAGATTTAGGTAAAGCTTCTGACTTACGTTTAGTTAGGCCATGTTTACTTACAAGAGCCGAGAGCTTACGTCGACCAGTGACTTTTGGTCCCATCCTGTCTCGAGGCAATTTGTGATTAAGAAAACTTCTAGCAGACATGTTGACTGAATTTCAGCTAGGGGCTAACGATGTAAAAATAAATCACAACAGTTAGAGAGAAATCGGATGCACAAAATGAGAATTGCAAAGTGCGATTAGTGAACAACGGGCATAGACTAGCAAAACTCCAAAGAAGATGGCAGCAGGCAGTTCTTATTAAACAGTCGACCAATATTCCCAGAACGTCATATTATCAGGAACAATATGATACCTGATTAAATGTTATTTTAATATCTTTGATTGTGACTTACTACTGAGAGTTGCGTGCTCCTAATATAAATGCATCTTTTCCAGCTGCCAGTCCGACAGTTCAGTCGTCGTTTCCGACGATGTTCACAGTGTGCAACACAGCCAGCTACAAAAGGCACGGTGACTTGCGCCCGAATTAGTTTATGGTGGTGGTTGACTTGCGCAGCATCTACCGCACATTCTTTCCCAATCCTCCCTGGACCCGGTATCAAGGCAGAATCAAGAAGACCGGGGATGGGGGAGGGAGCAGGTGGCCGGCACGGCCAGACGTGCCACACGCACCCCCTGGTCCACGACACACACATTTGACCAGGTTTTTTTACCAGCAACAACGACACACTTTCACACCTTTTGACCAAGAAGGGCGACACGTGACCCTGCATTTAACATGGGCCGTCACCCTTCGAGGCTGGGTAACTAAGCAGTTGCCGAATGAGAGACACTACCCATAAAGCACATAACCATTCTTCGTGACGTCATGTCCAGTGTTTCCAAGGACATCCTAGAGTTTGTGCCGCGTAGATATCTCAATTTCAATTCTCCAAATTCCATTGTTCATCATTTTCTTCGCAACAGACTAAAAAAGTTAAGACGGTAGCTGCGTGACCTATCCACTTGCTCTTTATCCGTTCATCTTAGAATCACAGAGATGTTCAAAATGGCCTTAAGGATGGATCCTGCGCGCGACAGGCAAAGAGAACCACTTGCTCTCGGTGATCCGAACCCTGCCAAATCCGTCGCTGACATCTGCCGTCATCGGTTCTCCTCTAAGCGTGGTCACGAACTTCCAACCCTGTTAAACGAAAACAAAATCTTCCTCATCGCTGACACTGACAAGGCTGAGTTGTTTAGTGTTTTCTATGCAAAACACCTTACTACTGATTCCGGCCCCGTCCCTTTCTTTCTTTCACTTTCAGATAGGACACTGAGCACAATCCATGTCTCCTCAGATCTAATTAAGAAACACATAAGTCGTTTGAAAACTCACACTCTTCAGGAACGGACGGGATTCCGAATTCGATTATTAAACAAGTGCCCGACCTTCCCATAATGCTTAGTCAGTTATTCTCGGTTTATATTTCAGACGGACTTTTCCCATAAACATGGAACACGTCAATTACCACTCCTGTCTTCAAGTCTGGATCTCGGTCCGATGTTAATAAATATCGGGGGTGCACATACCACCGTTTCTAGCAAAAAATTCTTCAATGGATAATTTCAATAAAATTCTTGACTTCTGTCTAGCTAATCGGCTTCTGAGATCTAATCAGCATGGATTTTTACCTGAACGATCCTACGAAACTCGCCACTTGGCATTTCTCAATCTAAGCGCTTCTATCCGTAATGTACAGCATTCAGTGGCAGTTATCTATTTTGACCTTAGCAAAGCCTTCGACAAGATGCTCCATAGACGTCTTTTGGTAAATTGGAAGCTTTCGGCATCTGGCCGCCTCTAATCGACTTTATCGGGTCCTCTCTATCCAACCGATATCAGAAAGTCATGGTCGGTAATAGCTACTTGACACCTCACTCGATCACGAGTGGCGTATTTCCAGGCACGGTTCTGGGTCCGCAAATCTTCCTTCTTTAAATCAATGATATTTCGACCGAACTCGGAAATTCGCAAACTTTTATTTATGCCGATGACCTCAAGTGTGTTTACTCATATTCTAAGGACAACACAAATGCTTTTGTTGAAAAAATTAATGCCGATTTACTACGCTTAAGCAGATGGGTTTCAACATGGCAGATGGAGTTTTCATCATCCAAGTATAGATTCATGTCCTTTGTGTTCCTGCCAAACTTCCTGGTCCCATAATTTTTTAGAATAACCTACTATCAGAATGCTTCACCATAAAGGACCTGGGTTCAAGTTATACAAATGATCTTGCTTTATCACCGCATGCAGATAGAATTTGTGTCAAAGCCGTGCAGATATGTGGATTCATGTTGCAGAATTCTTTCCTTCCAGAAATGAAGCTAAGACATTGTCAAATGTTTTTTCTTCCGTTACCGAATACTGCTGTTCTTTCGTTGGTTTACTGAACGCCTGCGACCGCTATAAGATCGAAAATGTTTAGAGACTTTTCACTTAGAAACTGTTCTCTCAAGTCGCATCCGGTATTTCTTATGCTCAGAGATGTCAGCTGGCGAACATTAAGTTTTTGTGGGTTAGAATACTCAAATCTGGCCTTTGCTTCCTAGTTCGCATTAACTCTAACTCCAATCTTCCGCTCATTGACACTGTCACTCCGAGAGATAGGTCTTATGCCACGCGCAACTCCTCCATGGTGATTCCGCCGCCTCTTTGCCCTACATCTACGAACTCCCTCTTTTTGCTTCAAAATATGCCGTCCTTTAAAATTATCTTCCGCCAGAAATTAGGTCTTCGCCTAAGTTACTGGTACTCAAGTCGAAATTACGCAAACACCTTACACCAGAAGGTACAAAGGCAGTTTAAACGGTCTCATTCACGAACGCTCGGCTTCTCGACTTTGAGAAAGGCCTCCTGGGATTTAGTGGTAAATCAAGTGTAAACCCTCACTTATATCTTCACAACCCCCTGTTTTGAATCGGTTGCTAGATCCACTGCTATCACTTCTTCCTCATATCGACGATTTTCGCGGTTCTTGATGTCATCTCCCCATTTCGACCTCAAGCGGCCTGTCGACGCTCACGGCGGAACCCTCTGTATTCGCTGTTTACTAGTAGTTTGGTCGTACCTCCCTTGCCCACTCCTCGGCTGGGCTCGAAGCGGATTTTGACGCGAATAGCCTCATCGGGTGTATGAATTCTGCCCTGACGATGTTCGTTTTAAATCCCTTATACAATGCCACATGCAGGCTTGTCCTGTCTGACCCGCATACTTACCCCTCAAGGTTAACACTTCTGCCCTGACGATGTCCGTTAAAAATCGGTTCTACACTAATACATGGAAGCCGGCCATGCCCGCATTTTTATCCTTTCATAAGCAGCAGTTTTTTCTTCTGTAAAGTTAATCCAGTCATTTTGTTTATTCTAAAATTTAGTTTTTTCAGTTCTCGCTCATCCATTTTCTTAACATGCTATTCATTCAATAGCTATTTTTTTGCCTGTTATGCCCATTCTGTCTACCTTGTCTAAAATTCATATGAAAATTTGTTTTTGACTGCTATAAAGGTACCCCGATGGGTCCTCGATAAATTTATTTTATTTACTTATTTGTCAATTCATTTACACTCCCCACATGCATGACATTTACACGGATCGCTTTAGAAGAGGTCGTGACAGTCTGGCTCTCAGCCCGCCAGTCCGCCTCTCCACACAACACACACAACAAGGCAGACGGCTTGGACTGAGTTGGGGCGTCAGTCGGCTGCCTACCGAGTCAAGGTTCTTGAAGCACTGTCTTCGTCTCATACTCAAGCTACACATGCAACACGGCATCCGCATGATGAAGGAGCCGAGACGCACATTTCCCACTTGCGGGGGAGGTGGCAGTTGGGTACTTTCGATGGGTGGTTTCAATGTGCAGTGAGATGCTGGTGAGAGTGTATGTGATAGTGCGGAGCAGCCGGCGATTGTCTGCCGCAGGCTTTCGTGGACGCGCATGCGGCCTAATAGACCCATGCGGTGAGTAAATATGCAACTTCAACGTGGACAGTGAAGGCGGATGCGGTGAGTGTAGGCTGGTGTCCCAGCACTGGTTCGCCAGTTTCTGTATGATGGATTAGCAAATGACCGGCCAGGCCGATGTGTGAGGTGAACCTGCAATCGCAATGAAGACAAGTACAGAGCGGGTCCTGATAACCGATTTTGACGGTGGTGGTGTTGGTGTTTTTTGTTGTGTCAGGATTGTGTGTAAAGTTGATGGACATGGCAGACGCCACAGCGGCAGATGCTGGTGCGGTGGAATAGGAGGAGGAGGAGGATGATGGTGGTGGTAGTCGTTCGGGAGGACGGTCAACGCTGGTTGAAGGCGTGGAAGGCGAGGTGGACGGAGAGACGACGTTTGGTGTAGTCCGGGTGCTGAAGTTGGTCCGGAGGAGCCCAACAAGTCCAATTGGCGGCCGAATTGTCCAATGACATCCTGGGTACGTTGGAGGCGGTTGGGCGTTGGCGTTGTGAGGCGGCTGCGGCAGTTGAGGTTTGCGTTTCTCGCGTTCGGCTTTGGCGGCGGTGATTCGGTCGACTTCGAAAATTGCTACGCCGGTCTTCACTGCCATCCTCCACGTAGGTCGGTCCAGGGCGAGGTCTTACCAGCTTGTCGGGTTCATCTATAGGCCCTTCGAGGAGGTTTTCAGAGGACCCTTGTCGCGCCGGACTTGATCTCCTTTCGGCGTAAACCCTTGGTGACATCCCAGTAGAAGAGTCGTTTGGGTAGACTCTCGTCGTCCATCCGCACAAAGTGACCGCTACAATGTAGTCGTAGGTGTCTTACCATAGCGTTGATGCAGAGAATTCCTGTCGGCTGCAGTACGTCCGTGTCTGGGATCCGGTCCTGCCTCCTCAGATTCAGTATTCGACGAAGACCTATGAGGGGGATGTGGTTGAGTCTACGTGCCTGCTTCATGTACACCATCCAGATCCCTGCTTCATACAGCAATGTCGGTAGCATGGCGGTAAGGTACATCCTCAGTTTCGTACTGAGCTGAAGACCGTGACGATTCCAATCTGTGTTTTGAAGACGACCGAAGGCTTGACTGGCCTTGGAAACGAGGTGAGCCACTTCATCGTCGATTTTGGTGCTGCGGGAGAGGGTGCAGTTTGGTTCCGTTCGCGCTGATTTGCTGTGCATTGTAGGCAGTTTTGGGTGGCGGTTGGTGCATGACCACCGTCTTCTCCGTGTTGATGATCAGGCCGAAGTGATCGCAGGTGGCGGAGAAGAGATACATGCTCTTTTGCATGTCTCCTTCAATGGATGCATTGTAGGCGCAGTCACTGACGAACCGAAGTTCGTGGATGGTCGTTTTGGAAACACGCGATCGAAAGTGCAGCCTCCGATGGTTGTCCGTCCTGTGGACGACGCGGATCCCGGGGGCCTTCATCACGGTAGGCGTGCATCAGCATGACAGAGAACATGAGACTGAAGAGGGTAGGCACGAGAACGCAACCCTGTTTCACTCCGTTGGTCACTACGAATGCCTCTGAGACAGTTACATTGTCTGCGACTCGCGCTATCATGCCATCGTGGAGCTGACGCACCGTCTGAGTGGATCGTTCGGGAGAGCCGAATTTTCCCACGATTTTCTACAATCCTTCGCAATTCACCCTGTCGAAGGCTTTCGTCATATCCACGAAGGTAGAATAGAGATGGGTCGGCATCTCCTGACACTTCCCCTGCAGTTGATGGGCGGCGGAGATCATGTCCGTGGTCCCACCATGACGACGGACAGCTATGGTAAGCATCCTGGACAACCTGAACGAACGATATGACCTACTCAAAGCAACTGCCCAAATAAACCGACAACCGGTGTAGCGGGCGCAGACGTCGCGTCATATCAGTTAGACGCCAGCAGGGATCACAGCGCTGTCGGCAGCTGCGATTAGGGGCCGTGGAGTGTGCTGATTATAAGGGGAACGAGTGAAGAACGGACGGTAAGAGCGGGATAAGCGACATCCGCAGTAGGGAGGGAAGGAACATCGGCCATCTTCACTGGTAGACGATCACAACAGACCCGTCCGGGATCCCCTCAAAGGTGACCTCAGCTCGTTCAAACGACCCTGTCGAACTTGTGGTGCGTTGCACCGGCAATTAGCAGACACCCTGTAACAGCGGGCAGTTGCTTTGACGAGAGGAAGAATAAGGCGGAAGGTAGCAAAGTGTAGCGTGCCTGTACGTGTCCTTTTCGCTTGTAGACAAGATCGCCGCGACGAGTTCATCTGTGGATATCGTCCCTCCAGAGCCGCAGCAGTGAACTATTTAAAATCCCTCCCTTTGTTACGCAAAGTTCTCCTCTCCGTTTTATACTTACCGGTACCTGCCTCCCCTTTCCTCTTATCTCCCTGTTGTGGAATATACGATATTCATTAGCCAGTAACTTTAACTACATACTCTGACTGCTTAAACCATTCCAGTTGAAATATGGGCGGTGCTCCAGAAGATCCTAATTCAGTGTTAGACGACGACCCCTTCGTCGGAATAGTTCCAGGATCAACGACGTCACTACTCACACGGCCTTTAGAGGACTCCATGGGCGATTGAAGCCCGTCTGTTACAAGCGAAATTTATTCAATTCGAAGATAATTCAAGTGTTAAGCCGATGTCAAATTTCTTCAGGTTTTACGAAGGGCATGTATTCCTGACCTAAGAACTACCAGGCTCCATACTTCAATCTCTATATTGCATATATCGTTCTTTTTTCTAAATTTTGGTCTTAATTTGCCTTGGAACTTAGGTTTTTTTTTAACTTAAAAAGAACTCTCAATTTGCGCACTACTGACTAAGCAGACACCCGAAACAAGTGAAGTCGAAGTGTAGCCGAAAGGGATGGGTTTGTTATGAGTTTTTTCCGTGTCCAACGGAGACTAACAGCGCTCAAGAAGCGCTATAATAAACAGATTCTTTTCTATTCTTAAGGTGTGTTTGTCAGTTCACAGTGGCAAACACAAGCTGTGGATCGTAGAAAGAACGATCTTTCTCGTCTTCCATACCAGCGATAGTCTGCACCAATGCACTTGAAGATGAAATTGTGCACAGTCGCTCATATAACATTAGGAAGTCATTCGTAAGACGTTTGACCAATCCGTTTTTCGTAACTTAACATTTTCCCCGTCCACATGCGTGAATGACAGGGTCTGAGATTAGCATCAGCTATGGAAGCAACCACCCTGCAGCTCACAAACGCTGCGTCGGAATTCTGTCCCACCGGACCTACCGTTATTGCAACTGCAACGATCTGCTTAAGAGAGAGCTTGCTTACCTGTATTAGTTATTTCGATCTTATGGATATCCGACCAGTTTTGTAATGAATTGCCTCAGGCACCAGGCACAGCCGCAAGATCCCACCCCAGACGGAGATATTGTAGCACGAAAATTCGACTCCCTGCCATATATGCGGGGAACATCTGAAATAATCGCCTGGCAGTTAAATGGCTTAGGTGTTCACGTCGCCCATAAACCGACATCCTCATTACGCACAGCAATATCTCGGGTCAAAGATCCCATCTCCAAAGAGCAGCAAACAAATGTAATTGATCAAATCTCTTGCGCCAATTGCACCTACGTGTACGCTGGTCACGCGGGTTGACGTCTGGGCACCCGTATTAGCAGACACAAACTAGCTATCCGTCGGCGAGACCACCTGCCCCTCATCTTTGTCCATGCAATCGAGTAGGATCACCTATTCGGTTGGGAATCCACCGAGGTCATCGCCATGGCTAACACAAAGTGAGCGACGAAATTTCTCAGGGCTTGGTACTCCAATGCAGGTAGTATCCACCGTCATGTGGATCTGGATGCCCATTAAGGTCTACGTTCACGACTGACTGACTTCTGCCTTAATCGCACATCAACAACCGCTAATACAGCCTCCCGGGGTTTCACTGATCCACCATCCACCCTCCCCTTCCAGCACAGGGTGCCGTAACTGTTGCGCCTTCTCCCCTCTCCCCATCTCACTCTGAAACCCACCATGACCTAATGACCACCCCAACTCATACACCAATGGTCTGCCTGTCTTGTAGCGCCAACTGGTCTAGTGTGGCAATTTATCTTTCATTCCTGTTTTGATTTTGTCTGACGACGGATTGATGTCACCAGCTCGAAAACTCGACTTTTACGAAGAGCCTCTTGTCTTTTTTCTACATATATATGTTATGATAGACGGGCGTTCACAGATGAGCTTACGGGACGTATTAGTTCCATTGTGCCAGAAATGGCCATTCCGGTCTCCCAAGTCTTTGTCGGTACCACCACATATATATGTACATAGCAAAGGTATCATACCGCATCCCAAACATAGGTACTAACTAAAAGCCCAGACACGTGTTTCGCCGATATTCTGCCTCTGCATGACACAGCTGCGAGGAGTTCGGCTCCTGAGTGGGTCCCCAGCGTTCGCAATGCGGTCTCTGATATATGAACTCCAGAGAATATTCAAGTGAGTAATTTCAGAAATTATTCAGTGCACGACATTGATTCAAGTCTCCGGGACATGGCTTTTTGGGGTGAGACCCGAAAGTAATGTCCTCGAGACTTAACTCCATGTTCCGCACTGAATACTTTCTGAAATTAGTAACTTGATTATTCTCTGGAGTTCATATACCAAAAACCGCATAAAGAACGCTGGAGGACCCACTGAAGACCCAAACCCCTCACAGCTCCTAGAACGGTTACCCTAGAGATTTCGTACGTCGATGCATAAGACAGCAAGAGGTAAAAACAAGGGAACTAGATAGTTCCAATCAAGCGCTCAAAGTAAATACTTGGCGAATCCTTCCTTAAATAAGGAATGTCTGAACTTAATGGGAGACACTTGAGGAAACCTGAATCAATGTGGCACGGAAGCCGACGACCACTTTGTGTACTTAGCCTGTACACCCTAAGGACAGTGTTGGCTATCTCAATAAGAAGTCGTCCATAAGATATCATACGACACATGCAATGCGATTTACTGTAGTCAAACTGGGAAAGTTGCCTCTAAACGCACACAAGAACATCAGCTAGGAGAGAAAAGGCGAGACCACTTGTCCCAGGTTGTCATGTGTACGCTGGAAACTGGATACAAATTTGCCTGGAACAGGACTCGCATTATGGACTTTTGCCCATCTGATAAAGGCCGAGAATTTTCAGACGCATTCATTCTGGTAACTCATGCATAGATCGACACGCAGAATTGGATACTGTATACAATCATCTCAAGGAAAGGTGGGAAAGGCGTTAGCCAATCAGAACATGATGCCAACCCACTGTAACGGCTGACTGGTAGGAGTGACAGGGCAATATCGATTATTAGCATGTTTAAATTTTCCCAGATTGGCAAAGTTGAGAAATCTGGGTTGGTGATTTGAAGGAAAAAATGGGCTCACAGGAACGGGTTTATTTGGGTGCTAGTTTCGAAGAGCTTGGCCGGCTCCCCATCGTCAATGCGTACAATGGACCTAATTGACCAGAAATTTCAAGAGGCATGTCGCGTTAGTTGGCCTCATGCTGATCGGTCTCCCTCTGCTCTCCCTGCCTCGGCCTCTCGGGGGGATAGTTTGCGGGCATTTTATCTATGTGCTTCACGAGTCGCAGCTTCTTCGGGGGAGGTTATAGGACCTTCGTCAGGTTCTGCGTACACAGCTTGCATACCCTAAAGACGGGGTTGGCTATCTCGATAGAAAAGATATTGTCTACAATGTCTCATGTGCCAGTTGTGATGCCGTCTATCGTGGCCAGACTGGGAAATCTGTCCCAGCACGCATACACGAGCATCAGTTAGCGGTGAGGAGACGATATCAACTATCCCGAGTGGTTATGCACATAATGGACGTAAATTTGCATGAGGGAACACTCGAATTGTTGGCCCCCGCCCAATAAGGAAAGGCCGCGAATTACTGGAAGCAATGCACTCAGATGAGGCATGCATCAATCCACATATCGATTTAGACGCCACATACAAATTCCTGAAGGACAGATGGAAGAGAGCGCAGCCAATGCCAAGGAGATGAGGAAAAACCATTGACGCAGGCTCTGGCCAACCAGAGAATCACTTGTTCGACACGGTTAAATAGTTAACTTTTTTTGCACATAACCCAAGTCTGACGACGACATGGTGAACCACACTCGAAAGTCTACGCACTAAAGGTTATTTT